CTTTTTGTCTTCTAGTGCATTTAGGACCTTGTCGTAGTGATCCAATAGTTGAGACAGACAGGAGCGACCTGTTCTAAACCCATGTTGCCCTGGGTTGTGTAACTGATGGGTTTCTAGATGGGTGGTGATCTTGCTTCTTAGGACCCTTTCAAAGATTTTTATGATATGGGATGTTAGTGCTATTGGTCTGTAGTTCTTTGCTGTTGCTTTACTGCCCCCTTTGTGGAGTGGGGCTATGTCTGTTGTTTTTAGTAACTGTGGGACGATCCCGTGTCCATGCTCCCTCTCCTGCCTCGTGTGTACTCACCTAGTTGAGGTTGTGGGGGTCGAGTCCGAGCTCCTGGCCCCGCCTCTTCACTGATCGCTACTAGGTCCTCTCCCTCTCTGCTTCCTGAGCTTTGTCATACCACGTTTTAAAGCTATGTATGGTGTGTACTCACCTAATTGTACTCACCTAATTGTGGTTGCAGGGGTCGAGACTCAGTTCCTGGCCCCGCCTCTTCACTGATCGCTACTGGATCCTCTCTCTCTCTGCTTCCTGAGCTTTGTCATACCTCTTCTTAAAACTATGTATGGTTCCTGCCTCCACTACTTCACTTGCTAGGCTATTCCACTTGCTGACAACTCTATGACTGAAGAAATACTTCCTAACGTCCCTGTGACTCGTCTGAGTCTTCAGCTTCCAGTTGTGACCCCTTGTCCCTGTGTCCCCTCTCTGGAACATCCTATCTCTGCCCACCTTGTCTATTCCCTGCAGTATCTTGTATGTCGTTATCATGTCTCCCCTGACCCTTCTGTCCTCCAGTGTCGTCAGTCCAATTTCCTTTAACCTTTCCTCGTACGACATTCCCTTGAGCTCTGGGACTAGCCTTGTTGCAAACCTTTGTACTTTCTCTAACTTCTTGACGTGCTTGACCAGGTGTGGGTTCCAGACTGGTGCTGCATACTCCAGTATGGGCCTAACATACACAGTGTACAGTGTGTGTGTGTGTGTGTGTGTGTGTGTGTGTGTGTGTGTGTGTGTGTGTGTGTGTGTGTGTGTGTGTGTGTGTGTGTGTGTGTGTGTATACTCGCCTAGTTTGAGGTTGCAGGGGTCGAGACTCGGCTCCTGGCCCTGCCTCTTCACTGATCACTACTAGGTCCTCTCCCTCTCTGCTTCCTGAGCTTTGTCATACCTCGTCTTAAAGCTATGTATGGTTCCTGCGTCCACTACATCACTTGCTAGGCTATTCCACTTCCTGACGACTCTATGACTGAAGAAATACTTCCTAACGTCCCTCTGACTCGTCTGAGTCTTCAGCTTCGAATTGTGACCCCTTGTTTCTGTGTCCCCTCTCTGGAACAACCTGTCTCTGTCTACCTTATCTATTCCATGCAGTATTTTGTATGTCGTTATCATGTCTCCCCTGACCCTCTTGTCCTCCAATGTCGTCAGTCCGATGTCCCTCAACCTTTCTTCATAGGACATACCCCTGAGCTCTGGAACTAACCTTGTTGCAAACCTTTGCACTCTCTAATTTCTTGACGTGCTTGACCAGGTGTGGGTTCCAAACTGGTGCTGCATACTCCTGTATGGGCCTGATGTACACAGTGTACAGAGTCTTGAACGATTCCTTACTAAGGTATCGGAATGCTAAGTTTTGCCAGGCGCCCATATGCCGCAGCAGTTATCTGGTTGATGTGTGCCTCCGGAGACATGCTCGGTGTTATGGTAACCCCAAGATCTTTCTCCTTGAGCGAGGTTTGCAGTCTTTGGCTACCTAGTCTATACTCCATCTGCGGTCTTCTTTGCCCTTTTCCGATCTTCATGACTTCGCATTTGGTGGGGTTGAATTCGAGAAGCCAGTTGCTGGACCAGGTGTCCAGTCTGTCCAGGTCTCTTTGAAGTCCTGCCTGATCCTCATCTGATTTAATTCTCCGCATTAACTTCGCATCATCTTTGAACAGGGACACTTCTGAGTCTATCCCTTCCATCATGTCATTCACATATACCAAAAATAGCACTGGTCCCAGGACCGACCCCTGTGGGACCCCGCTCGTCACAGGCGCCCACTGTGATATCTCATCACGTACCATGACTCGTTGTTGCCTGTGTGTGTGTGTGTGTACTCGCCTAATTGTACTCACCTAATTGTGGTTGCAGGGGTCGAGACTCAGCTCCTGGCCCCGCCTCTTCACTGATCGCTACTAGGTCCTCTCTCTGCTTCCTGAGCTGTATCATACCTCTTCTTAAAACTATGTATGGTTCCTGCCTCCACGACTTCACTTGCTAGGCTATTCCACTTCCTGACGACTCTGACTGAAGAAATACTTCCTAACGTCCCTGTGACTCGTCTGAGTCTTCAGCTTCCAGTTGTGACCCCTTGTTTCTGTGTCCCATATCTGGAACATCCTATCTCTGTCCACCTTGTCTATTCCTTGCAGTATCTTGTATGTCGTTATCATGTCTCCCCTGACCCTTCTGTCCTCCAGTGTCATCAGTCCAATTTCCCTCAACCTTTCCTCGTACGACATTCCCCTGAGCTCTGGGACTAGCCTTGTTGCAAACCTTTGTACTCTCTAATTTCTTGACGTGCTTGACCAGGTGTGGGTTCCAGACTGGTGCTGCATACTCCAGTATGGGCCTAACATACACAGTGTACAGTGTCTTGAACGATTCCTTATTAAGGTATCGGAACGCTATTCTCAGGTTTGCCAGGCGCCCGTATGCTGCAGCAGTTATTTGGTTGATGTGTGCCTCCGGTGATGTGCTCGGTGTTATGGTCACCCCAAGGTCTTTCTCCCTGAGTGAGGTCTGTAGTCTTTGTCCACCTAGCCTATACTCTGTCTGCGGTCTTCTTTGCCCCTCCCCAATCTTCATGACTTTGCATTTGGCAGGGTTGAATTCGAGAAGCCAGTTACTAAACCACATGTCCAGCCTGTCCAGGTCTCTTTGTAGTCCTGACTCATCCTCATCCGATTTAATTCTTCTCATGAACTTCACATCATCTGCGAACAGGGACACTTCAGAGTCTATTCCTTCCATCATGTCGTTCACATATATCAAAAATAGCATTGGTATTACCTTTGTAACTTGGTCATGATTATGACCAGATCTAGTTCATTACCTTTGTAACTAGTTCAGCTATCAAAACTTTGGAGTCCAGTCCCTGGACCAATTATGTACCTCTGTAATCTTTTGACTACCACCCACAGGATGGGTATGGGGTGCATAATAAACATATTAAACTAACTCCTAGAACTAACCCTTGTGGGACCCCGCTCATCACAGTCCTCAAATTTACACTTTGAGAATAAAATAAAACGATTAAATATACAATGCAATTTCAGCCATTTATTTTGCTCTTTTTATAATTGACAGTTGTGTTGAGGCGAGTGTTTGTATCTTGTGTTGGTTGTCTTTATTGTTGTGTGCTGTCCTACCAGTGTTTGTATCTTGTGTTGGTCGTCTTTATTGCTGTGTGCTGCCCTACCAGTGTTTGTATCTTGTGTTGGTCGTCTTTATTGCTGTGTGCTGTCCTACCAGTGTTTGTATCTTGTGTTGGTCGTCTTTATTGTTGTGCTGTCCTACCAGTGTTTGTATCTTGTGTTGTCGTCTTTATTGCTGTGTGCTGCCCTACCAGTGTTTGTATCTTGTGTTGGTCGTCTTTATTGTTTGTGCTGTCCTACCAGTGTTTGTATCTTGTGTTGGCGTCTTTATTGTTGTGTGCTGTCCTAACCAGTGTTTGTATCTTGTTTGTCGTCTTTATTGTTGTGTGCGTCCTACCAGTGTTTGTATCTTGTGTTGGTCGTCTTTATTGTTGTGTGCTGTCCTACCAGTGTTTGTATCTTGTGTGTTGGTCGTCTTATTGTTGTGTGCTGTCCTACCAGTGTTTGTATCTTGTGTTGGTCGTCTTTATTGTTGTGTGCTGTCCTACCAGTGTTTGTATCTTGTGTTGGTCGTCTTTATTGTTGTGTGCTGTCCTACCAGTGTTTGTATCTTGTGTTGGTCGTCTTTATTGTTGTGTGCTGTCCTACCAGTGTTTGTATCTTGTGTTGGTCGTCTTTATTGCTGTGTGCTGCCCTACCAGTGTTTGTATCTTGTGTTGGTCGTCTTTATTGCTGTGTGCTGTCCTACCAGTGTTTGTATCTTGTGTTGGTCGTCTTTATTGCTGTGTGCTGCCCTACCAGTGTTTGTATCTTGTGTTGGTCGTCTTTATTGCTGTGTGCTGCCCTACCAGTGTTTGTATCTTGTGTTGGTCGTCTTTATTGCTGTGTGCTGCCCTACCAGTGTTTGTATCTTGTGTTGGTCGTCTTTATTGCTGTGTGCTGCCCTACCAGTGTTGCTTTACAACCTCTGCTTTCCCTGGAGTTGACCTTACAACCTGTGGATGCTTCTACTGCTTCCAGTATTGACCTCGCTGCCTCCATTTATCTCTACTGCCTCCGTCTTTGGCCTCGGTGACTCCGTCTTTGGCCTCGGTGACTCCGTCTTTGGCCTCGGTGACTCCGTCTTTGGCCTCGGTGACTCCGTCTTTGGCCTCGGTGACTCCGTCTTTGGCCTCGGTGATCGTCTTGCCTCGTGACCGTCTTTGGCCTCGGTGACTCCGTCTTTGGCCTCGGTGACTCCGTCTTTGGCCTCGGTGACTCCGTCTTTGACCTCGGTGACTCCGTCTTTGACCTCGGTGACTCCAGATGCCGCTACTGCCTTCGGTATTGACTCCAGCACCTCTACTGCCTCCATCAACCCTCTGTCACCACAGTTAGTGAGAGGCACTTCAATCTTTGCTAACAAATCCTGACACACTCATATTTTCGTCCCTTCCCTTTAAAAACATTAATAACAGTAATTTACTAACAAATCAATTACCACTCTTAACTACAAACACGTTTAGGCCTGTAAAGGACACAAACTGGATTTGTACATATCTGGTACACCTTGAAGTGCTGTATTTACAAGTCTGGTATGTGTTAAACCAGAGTTGTACATGTTTGGTATGAGTTAAACCCGATTTATACAGGTCTGGTACGAGTTTCAACCTCGGATAACACCGTGATATCACTGGCAGTGTACAGGTGTACAGTAAACCACAGGACTCTACAAAATGATGATGTGTAACCAGAGGACATCCTACGCCCGCATCAGCTACCAGTCTATCGGCGAGAGGTCTATCAATAGACAGGATTGTTGCAGCTCCATCCTGCCCCGTGGTTTGAAAGTTGAGCTGTTATTGTGCATCTATGTTGTGATCTACTGGGCATACCTGTTCGTGGGGGCCCTCCTCTTCTCTCGAATTGAGGGCCCCTTAGAGATGGCCAATATTAAGAAAATTAGGAATCTGAGAAATGATTTTCTTAAGTCACATTCCTGTGTGGCAGGTAAAGATGTTTTATTATAAGTTAAATTTTACTCTTATCTGTTGTTCTTTCTCATCTCTTACGTTTCTTTCATCTCTCTCATGTTTTTATCTTTCTTACTCGTTTCTCACATTCCTATCCTTTTTTTGTCTTTAATTTCTTTCACCCTCCTGTCTCTCTAATATTTCTCACTCTATAATCTCTTAAGTAAATCTCTTCTAGCATCTCTCATTCCTGTCTTCTCTCATTTCTCCATTTTTCCTCATTACCTCATCTCTCCAGTAAAAAAATCTAAGTATTTAATTCTATCTATTTCTCACAGAACTGGCATGATGCCGATAGATAGGAAGGGATTTAGGCAGGACCCTAATGGAAATAAGTCACTTTGACTTTATTGGGTTATCCCAGGTTCTCTACACATATGCTGCTATATGATAATCTATTTAACTGTATTTGTGTATATCTGAATATAATTTGAGATCAAGTTTTTTCAATGCTATAGAAAGTTTATGGTGAGCGTGGGTGTGTACAGCCACACACGGTAAATTCTTCTATAAATACAGCAGTATAGTATCTTTATTTCTACAAGTACAGTGGACCCTCGAATTTAGTAGTGCCATTTCTGTATGCAAAACTATTTTTATTATCTATAAAATGTGGAAATATAAACACATATGCAGTATAATGTGATCCTTTATTGACTACGTTTCGCCCACACAGTGGGCTTTTTCAAGTCACAAACAGAACCCACTGTGTGGGCAAAACGTAGTCAATAAAGGATCACATTATACTGCATATAGTGCTTATATTTCCATTGTGTCGGTATTTTATACCATTTATTTCCATCTATAAAATGTATTTTTTGTTAATATTTTTGGGTGTCTGGAATGGTTTAATTGGATTTACATTATTTCCTATGGGAAATATTAAAAAAAAATACGTTTTATAGATAAAAATAGTTTTGCATACAGAAATGGCACTACTAAATTCTACTGTATATGATACAACTTATACAGACCATAGATGACATCAGTGACATACTTCTACAGTCTCTCCTCACTTAACGACAAAGTTTTATTCCTAAGACCACATCGGTAACCAAATTTGTCACTAAGCAAGGAGCATACTATAATGGTAGTGGGTTTGTGTCAACCATCTTTGATATTGTTTTAATGTCACTTTTGTACCATTTATAACATTTCTGTTATATTTTTAAATGTTTATACAGCAGTGTACTGTACATTGTAATAAACAGAATAGAGGAAATCAGCTCTAATATTCATTATTTAGGCATGCATACTGGTCAGAGAGCCCGTCGTAAATCCGAGCAGTCGGTAAGCGAGTACATCGCTAAGTGAGGAGAGAGTATATGTAGAAAGTCCCTTGTTAGGCATAGCATTCCCACAAATATGTCAATTTTGTCCCAAGATGCCACCCACACCAGTCCACTAACACCCAGGTACCTACTTACTGCTAGGCAAACATGGACAGCAGGTGTCTTAAGGAAACACTTCCTAATGTTTTCCAGCCGTACCGGGGATCGACCCCCGGACTTCAATGTGAGAGAGCTGAGTGCGCTACCAACCCAGCTATGGGACATCCTAAAACTGTGATTTATATTTTGTGAATTGATAGTTGATTTCCCGTACTCGTGTACGCATATACTCTAAAGGCCTTTCCGTGTTCTATATTCAATTTTTTGTTTTTTAATTTTATAATTTTTTTAATATATTTTTTCATAAACCCATTGTGAAGAGGAGCTTTATAAGTAGCGTAAGTTTATTTAGGCACAGGTTGACACGAGTACAATTATCAGTGTAAATCAACCCCCAGGATAATCCCCCCCCCCCAAAAAAAAAATCAGTGATGTTGTAATTTAACGACAGACAAAATTAAAAATTTTTTTGCAAATGTGACTGAAAAAAAATTCATAATAGAATAGCACATAGAAAAGTCTTTTATATTGTGTGATTTTTGTTAAGGTGGTTGAAAAAGACATCTAAAATAACACATGAGAGGCCTTCATAGTACAGTGGACCCCCGCTTTATGATCACCTCCCAATGTGACCAATTATGTAAGTGTATTTATGTAAGTGCGTTTGTATGTGTATGTTTGGGGGTCTGAAATGGACTAATCTACTTCACAATATTCCTTATGGGAACAAATTCGGTCAGTACTGGCACCTGAACATACTTCTGGAATGAAATAATATCGTAAGTCGGGGGTCCACTGTATGTGCTATTAAATTTTGAGTAAACCTTTGCCAATACAATTACAAAAGTAAGATTATTTAGGTACAGGTACACTTACGTACAATTATCATACATAGTAATATGTATGTAAATTACCTACCAGGATAACCCAAAAAAAACTCAAAATTTAAATATTTTCTTTAATGCAGTACAGAGATAATATAGTTACATGTAATTCAATATTGTTAGGTACAAAAACCACTATCATGGTATTTCTGGCAGACTAATACTGATGTTTAAAGACTATTTACTAATTATAGATACTAGCCTGGAACCTAGCTTGCTGTAATAGCAGGACCACCTTCTGTATAGATTGCTAAGTAGTATTTCTTAAATATACAAAAGAGAGAGAGGTGTCTCAGTGACTTGTATCCATTGGGGAGCTTTATTGTAAAGTTTACTATACATACTTAAAAAAAAAGGAGCTTGGTTTCCATTCCGAGCTTTCTTAATAAAGCTTATCATTGTGCCAGTGTGCGTTGTATCAGCTTGACAGTTTAACAGCCACTTACCCCAGGAAGAGAGAGGTAAGGAAGGGTAAGTGGTCTAGCCACTTAAACTGAGATTAAAGAGGGGTGCCTTCGACCACATTCATGAGCTGGGTTGCTATGGTACTACATCAATTTTAATCATTTACATTCAGCACACATTTAAAAAAAAATATTGATTTATGATTCGTGCAATGCAGAATGTCCGATTGAAGAAATACCTGTGGCAAGCAACCTCACTTCAATTTTTTAAATTCTCAGTTTTACATGATATAAAATTAATTTACCTAATCTATCTTAGAAATTGTTCCAGTTGCAGTTTTGTGGGTTATTCATGAATTGTTCCAGCCATGATATTACGGATTATTTGTTAATTCAGCTATGATACTGTAGATTATTTGTTAATTCAGCAATGATGTTGTACATGAATTGTTCCAGTGACGTTTCTGTATTGTTCCAATATTGTTCCAAGGTATTGACTCGCTGGTCTGTCTTTCAAAGAGTGTTCCTGATCCACAGATTCCGACCTGGAGGAGCTCATAGTGGAAATAATCAGCGCCAACAACCGTGGTGTGTCTGCTGCCAAGAACGTCACTAGTGAACCTAACTGGTCGTTTGGACAGAGTTTCTTCTTCTCCAGCACCATCGTAACTACCATAGGTAACGCCATCCTCTGATTACCACTGTAACTACCATAGGTAACACCTTCTGATTACCATCATAATTACCATAGGTAACAGGCAAGTGTTTACCATTGCCAAACCCAATGTCTTCTCCCTTCAGTACTATCATTACAATTATAGGCAACCTCTAGTATAATTAACAACATTATATGTAAATTATTCAGTTATCACAACTACGGATAACTTCTCGTTAATTTTATCACAATTACACATAGCGCAGCTTTAACTACAGTAGCGACATGATTACAAAGAAACCACACCATGGGTTCAAACCGTACCGCAGGTTCAAACCACACTCGCGGTATGGTTTTTTACTACTACAGTAGGCCTACTGACCCATGCTAGGCTGGTCTACACACACAACCATTTCCACTCATTTGTCAAGCCTAAAATATTTGCTCCTCCATGGGAAAGTGGGTTAGAATCCTTTCTCTAAGTCATGCATGTCGTAAGAGGCGACTAAAATGCCGGGAGCAAGGGGCTAATGACCACTTCTCCTGTATACATTACTAAATTTAAAAGAAACTTTCATTTTTTTGTTTTGGGGCACCCCGCCTCGGTGGGATACTGCCGGTGCTTTGAAAGAAGATTGAAGAAGTTACTGTTATATAGTCGATTCCCTAATAAATGATGCTCCTACATACAGAAATTTTTCATAAATGAGACTGAAAAAGTGCATCGAGAATTGAATAGTATGTACTAGGAAGGTTATTCAAGGACCCCAATGGAAATAAGTCGCTTTGACTTTTTGGGGTCATCCTGATGAGTAATTTACACACATGTTAAACTATTTATGATTGTATATGTATGATAATTGTACTTGTGTAACTATACCTAAACGTACTTGCTTTGCGTTATTCAATTCTGCCATCAGCTTCGATACTGGTCTAGTAGCAAACCATCGACCTTTACAATTTTTAATATTTACTGAAGGGTAAAGCTGTGTTGGTGCCACATATTCAATGATTCATTGACTGTTATATCAACCTACAAGGCTTCTGTTTTAGGTTCCCAGAGTATGCCCTTGCTTAAAAGTGGGTATACACACAAAAGGGTTTTTGGGCCCGGGGAAACCTTATTCACTCCAATAAAAGCCCCTAAATGCCCCACATGTCGACCCAAACGTGTTGGTAGCATTTTCCCCAGATTTTTCAACACCTTACATACCTGCCCCAGTTTATCCTTTGGGCCCTAAATACCCTTTAAACTATCCGGAACTGGTTTAAAATCACCTGAAATACACGTCCCAGTAAATCAAGTGCTGTGGGAACTCTGGCCTTTTTACTGTACTCACTCCCAAGGGAAATTTTCTTTTCCCGTTTGTATGCTTTGCATGTGTTCGGATTAAACTCCAGATCAACTTATTAAACCCTAACAACAACCCGTCTAAATTTCCCCCTGGAGTCCCCCTCCCCATTTGGGAAAGTAAAAAATAATTCTCTTTTGCCTCGGGCATCTGCAAACAAGGACAAGTATGACTAGTTTTTCCCCCCGGCAGATGATTAACCTGAACAGATACTTTTGATTCAGTACTGGTCCTTTGATACCTCGCTTTTTACCCTCACCCTCCTATTCTCCTTATGGGCACTTTTTTTTGTTTTGTTTAGGCACTCGTCTTTCGTTTTTTTAATTTCCCTTGGGAAAATTTTAAATCCTGCCTGCTTTTTGAAAATGTGGGGAGATTTTGTTTTATTTTCTGTGAAAGGGAAATGGGTCACTAAACTTTCAAAAACAAAAGGGCTCGCGGAATGCAAAAATTCCCCCAATGAAAAGCAAAAGGGGCCACAGGGACACTAAGAGCCCAAAACAGTAAGTGTCAGGGGACCAAAATGTTAAAATGCCCTCCCACATACATAAGGGGGATTACCAATGAAACCCCGGTATTTTAAGAAGGGCTGGAACCCGGCATCTAAAGTAGTAAACCCGATTAGCTGGGCTGTGGTTCAAAAAAATGGGGTTTTGTGAGCCAGTAGTAACAAACCTGGGTTTATCGACCCTGATTCCCCCCTTGGCCTGGGCTCGAACCCCGACCCCAAATGGCTTGAAACCCCCAAAACCCTCCCAAAGGGATAAATCCATGAGGTCATTCAACACAAGAAGTGATGGGGCTGGGCCCCCATTTAGCGTGGAAATCATACAACAACCCAAAAGGGATGGAGGCTGGATCCTCCTTTAGTGTGTGGGTCATACAACCCCAAGAAGTGATGGAGGCTGGATCCTCCATCAGTGTGTGGGTCATACAACACAAGAAGTGAGTGGAGGCTGGATCCTCCATCAGTGTGTGGGTCATACAACACAAGAAGTGATGGAGGCTGGATCCTCCATCAGTATGTGGGTCATACAACACTAGGAGTGGTGGAGGCTGGATCCTCCATCAGTATGTGGGTCATACAACACTAGGAGTGGTGGAGGCTGGATCCTCCATCAGTGTGTGGGTCATACAACACAAGAAGTGGTGGAGGCTGGATCCTCCATCAGTGTGTGGGTCATACAAACACAAGAATGATGGAGGTGGATCCTCAAACAGTGTGTGGGTCATACAACACAAGAAGTGATGGAGGCTGGATCTCCATCAGTGTGTGGGTTATACAACAATTAGGAGTGGTGGAGGACTGGATCTCCATCAGCGTGTGGAGGTCATACACACAAGAAGTGATGGAGGTTGGATCCTCCATCAGCGTGTGGGTCATACAACACTAGGAGTGGTGGAGGCTGGATCCTCCATCAGTGTGTGGGTCATACAACACAAGAAGTGGTGGAGGTTGGATCCTCCATCAGCGTGTGGGTCATACAACACTAGGAGTGATGGAGGCTGGATCCTCCATCTCACTAAGCAGAAAGACTGCACACTATCTTGCAACAGACCTTTTCCTGAAAAACCTTCCAAACCTTAATGACATCGTATCCATCATCCACCCCTCAACTCTCTAGTATACATTTGTAGCTCCAGTTATGGAGCTGTGCTTGTCGTGTCCTCTTATCATTGATTTTCTAAATTTTCTAATGCACTAGCACTTACTACATCATGATGTATTCCATTGGTCTACCAGTCTGCAAAGAAAAAAATTTAGTGTCCCCTTCTCTACATATTCCTTGGTTTACAAAGTGGCCTCTTGTTTAAATTATTATTATAATCAAGAAGAAGCGCTAAGCCACGTCTTGTTTAAAAAAACCCACAATGTCCTCTTACCCGTGTTGCAGGTTCAAAATAATGTTTATCTAATCTTTCACAATACAGTAGACCCTTGAATTTCGTCATCCCTTTTCTATATGTAAAAACTCTAGTTATTCTCTCTAAATTGTATTTTTTGTTAATATTTCCCATAAGAAATAATCCATTCCAAACACCCAAAAATATTAACCAAAAAATATATTTTATAGAGAATAATTATAGTTTTACATACAGAAAAGGAATGATGAAATTCAAGAGTCCACTGTAATGGTAGAAGTTCCAACAATGTTTGGTAAATGGACACCGATGCAAGTAATGTGACATTTATTGTGGCAATTTTTTGCTCTCCAGGAGCTTTAAGCTGCTACACCTTGACAAAAGTTCCTGGAGAGCAAAACGTAGCCACGCTAAAATGTTACATTAGTTGCATCTGTCTATCATCTTTGATGTCCATTTATTACCTTATGTATATTTATCCCTCTGTCTGTCAGCCAGGCGGCCATCTCCAGCACTCTAACTACAGACCGATAGCACTAACATCCCATATCATAAAAATCTTTGAAAAGGGTCTAAGAAGCAAAGATCACCACCCATATAGAAACCATCTAGTTACAGGCTTGTCTCAACTATTGGATCCCTTCGACAAGGTCCTAAATGCACTAGAAGACAAAAGAATGCAGGAAATTTTTTTGGGGTAATATATACAGACGTTGCAAAAGCCTTCAACAAGTGTGACCATGGCGTAATAGCGCACAAAATGGTTTGCTAAAGGAATACAGGGAAAAGTCGGTCGATTGGATCTATAATTTCTCCACTAACCAGACACAGAGTAGTAGTCGTCACAGAGTAAAGTCGAGCAGCTACGGTTGAAAAGCTCTGTTCACAAGGCACAGTATCGCTCCATCTGTTCCTCATCCTCATATCCGACATTAGACAAGGATGTCAGCACAGCACCGTGTCTTCCTTTGCAGATGACACCCGAATCTGCATGACAGTGTCTTCCATTGCAGACACTGCAAGCCTCCAGGGACATCAACCAAATCTTTCAGTGGGCTGCAGAAAACAATATGAAGTTCAACGATGAGAAATTTCAATTACTCAGATATGGTAAATGAGGGAAATTAATATTCATTCAGGTACAAAACAAATTCTGGCCACAAAATACGAGCGAAACACCACCGTCAAGACCTGGGAGTGGATCATGTCGGAGGATCTCGCCTTCAAGGACCAGAACATGTATAAATCGCTTCTGCTAGAAAAATGACAGGATGGGATAATGAGAAACCTTCAAAACTAGGGAGGCCAAGCCATGATAACTCTTCAGGTCACTTGTTTTTATTTGGTTTGGATATTGCTGCACACTAAACAGCCAACTTTCAAGGCAGGGAAATTGCGACCTAGAAAATGTACAGAGAATTTTCCCACGCGCGCATAACGGAGATAAACACCTCAATTACTGGAGGCTTGAGGTCCTTTTAAAACTGTATTCCTGGAACGCAGGAGGGAGAGATACAGATTATATACACTGGAAAACCCTAGGGGGGACTGTCCCGAACTTGCACACGAAACCCACTCGCTACGAAAGCAAAGCTTGGCAGACGATGCCCCATCCCCCAATGAAAAGCGGGTGTCACTAGCACGTTAAGAGACATACAATAAGTTTTCGGGCCCAAAGACGTTAAATGCTCCCAGCACACATAAGGGGGATTTTACTAACAACCCCGGGCAGTCTTCAAGTGCACTGGACAACATCTAAAGCAGTTCCTGACCACCGGGCTGTGGCCTCGTAAAATTGGTTTGGTGCAGCCAGCAGCAACGCCTGGTTGATCAGGCTCTATCATTGAGGCTGGTCAAGACCGGGACGCGGGGCGTTGACCCCCGGAACTCTCTTCCAGGTAAACTCAGGTAATCATCTTTGTAGAATACCAGAAACACTTGCAAAAGCTTTAAATCTAGGTAAATACAGTCTGCCCTGGAATTCCAGCAGGTTAATGAGAGGACTTTAGCCGTGTTGGTCGTTTCCAATGATGGTTTTTAAGGCTTTTCTACCCTAGCAGCCCAGCCTTCGGCCAAGTTCCTTATGAGCACCTGATCATCAGGTGTTGTTGTTAAGTGCCAACACAGCCATCACAACTGATGTACTGTGTGTGTGTGTATTGTGAAGCGATGTATCGTGTGTGTGTGTTATATTAAAATTAGCCTTGTGTGAAATAGTCAGCATCGGTGAAATAGATGTGCCAATTTCAGGACAGAATTGGAAAAATGCATTATTGTTAAAAACTATTAATGGAAGCTCCATCTAAGTTGTATCATGTACTTAGTTGGATATATTATGTACTAAGTTCTATAGTGTACTTGTAAAATTAAATGTTATTATTATTAGTTTCCACCCAACGGTTTACGGTACGTTCATTTCCTCTCTCGAAGGCGGCAAGATCTTCTGCATCATCTACGTTTATAATAGGGATCCCATGACGTTCATCCTGTTGGACTGCCCTGGTGGAGAGACCCCTGGTACCCGCTACCTGTTGTTTTTTTATTTGGCTAACTCTAAGCTGGACATTTGTTTCAGTCGACCTCGAGTCAGTAAAGTCCCGGGGACCTTTAAACATGTTGGGGACCTTTTGTATGCTTATAATATTAATATATGCAATACAATTTGATAATATACCATTACAAAAGATTCCGACACATTCATAAGCTAGGACTTCAATAATATTTTTTTTTTTTTCAACCTCATACTGAAATTTGTTAATTTTTGCATTTCTGGTACCTTGTTTAGTAATAATTTAAAAATGAATAATTAGAATTGACCACTCATAACCTTGTCTAGTTTTAAGAAGTGTGTTAGTATTAGTCTGCTAGATGTTGAGCCATCCTATGGCTTTCGGGTGTATTTAATACTGTTATAAAATGTTAAGTGACCTTACTGTCTTTTATACTGACCTTAACTATATAGTTAGTGACTTTGTCTATTGCATGTGACCTTATTGTCTATATGCATAGTGACCTTGTGTAGTTAGTGACCTTGTCTATATCCCATAGTGACCTTGTGTAGTTAGTGACCTTATTGTCTATTTTGCATAGTGACCTTGTGTAGTTAGTGACCTTATTGTCTTATGCATAGTGACCTTGTGTAGTTTAGTGACCTTGTCTATATGCATAGTGACCTTGTGTAGTTAGTGACCTTATTGCCTATATGCATAGTGACCTTGTGAGTTAGTGACCTTGTCTATATGCATAGTGACTTGTGTAGTTAGTGACCTTATTGTCTATATGCATAGTGACCTTTGTAGTTAGTGACCTTATGTCTATATGCTTAGTGACCTTGTGTAGTGACCTTGTCTATATGCATAGTGACCTTGTGGTTAGTACCTTATTGTCTATATGCATAGTGACCTTGTTTTAGTTAGTGACCTTATTGTCTATATGCATAGTGACCTTGTGTAGTTAGTGACCTTGTCTATATGCATAGTGACCTTGTGTAGTTAGTGACCTTATTGTCTATATGCATAGTGACCTTGTGTAGTTAGTGACCTTATTGTCTATATGCTTTAGTGACCTTGTGTATAGTGCCCTTATTGTCTATATGCATAGTGCCCTTTGTGTAGTTAGTGACCTTATTGTCTATATGCATAGTGACCTTGTGTAGTTAGTGACCTTATTGTCTATATGCATAGTGACCTTGTGTAGTTAGTGACCTTATTGTCTATATGCATAGTGACCTTGTGTAGTTAGTGACCTTATTGTCTATATATTAGTTACATTACTTAACATTATTGGGTCATGCTAGGTTAACTGCTACACAATTACTATATATAAAATTGTGAGTTTCACCTTGTCCTTGATGCTGGTGAAGAGCTCTTCATCCAAGGAATTGGAACAAGCTTCCCTTGGATCAAGTTTGGTTGCTCGAGCCCTTAATAACCTTCAGATTTAATGTTCTCATTAATGATTATTAATGACAGTTCAAAATTTAATTGTATTTTTTTTTTTTAATATTTTTTTAGTTTGTGGTCAAATTAGTTTCGGAATTGTATTAATATAACAACTCTGGGATCTATGGTTAAGATGTAAGGGAATAAAGCGCTAAACTGTGTTGTTGTTGTTCCCACTCCAGGACCAAGGTGGTAGCCGGGACTTGAATGAGGGGCGTTGATATTTTGCAGTTCGATAACTGTAGTGTAGGCACGCCTCTGGTAAAACAGTTAATGGATGAATAAGTTGAAAGTGTTTCTTCTTTCTTTTTGGGGTTCCTTGCCTCGTGGGGAAACGACCACATCTTTGTTAAAAAAAAGAGCCTAAACCATTGGGTATCTGCTGCAGGGAGGTTGTGCGAAGTTTGGGGCTGTGCAAAGGGTGAAGTGAGCGAGGGTTAGGGATTGGAAAAATTTAGCGGGGGCAAGTTTAGAATCAGTCGGTTACAGGTTTGGGATTAACGCATAGGAAAATTTGCTTGGGGGACAGTAAAAAAAAAAAAATTTGTTTTTTTCAAAATGTATGAACAATGATTAACAAGATAGGACACTTTGCTGAAGAGGACCTCATTGGGGATATTATTATTTTAAAATCCAAGCGCTAAGCCAAAAAACGGCTATTCAGCGCTGCAAAGGGTAGGGAAGGAAACGAGGGTATTAGGAGCAGAAGGGAGGAGGGATGATCAGTAGGTTACAGAAAACAGCGGGGCAGGGGATAGTGCAGGGGTAGAGGGTAGCAAAAGATTGAGGTAGAAAGGGCTGAAGGTATCAGTTGTGAAGTAAGTCAGCTGTCAAAAAGTCAATAAGAGAGGGCCGGATGAAAGGTGGGTCCATCAGCGAGAAGGGAAGGTAAAGAGAGAGCAGCGGAGTGGGAAAACGACGATTGAGGTAAAATTTTGCGTGCTCGTTGATAAAGTGGGCCCGTCTAACAGAATGTGGCTGACTGATTAATAGAACCTGACAACTCTCACAGAGAGGAGCAGGGCGGCCTCTCCATGAGATATCCATGAGTAAGATGAGTGTGGCCAATGCGAAGACGGGAGGGTGTAGTTTCAGTTGGAGATAGACATAAAGACTTCCATTCTTCGTTTTTGTCTTGTGTGGGATTTCCTCTTTCATATTTCGTCACGTTTAGGCTGACTGTCTTGTGGTATTAGGAAAATCTTCATTTAATCATTTCTTACAACAATCTGAGTTTACAGACTGTATGGCTTTGAGGGATGTAAAAATAGATTTACTGCTAAAGCTCCTGGGCCATGGAGAATACATGTATAGCAGTAGAAGCTTGGTAGCTCAGTCAGTAGAGCATTGGACTTGTTAATTTATGGACTATGGTTCAAGCCTCCCACCCATCTTTCTCTCTAATCATAACTGCTTCCTTGGACAAATAATCCCTACTGGATAAGCAAAGTTTGAAAAATCTGGCAAACTAGAGCATATATTCTGAATACACAAGCTGTATTTGAATTTATCCATGTTGTATAACCAAATTTATAAATTTGTTTAGAATACAATATGTGGTTTAAATGTGATAGTTAGGTACAAAGAAAGTCACTAGCATGCTGTGCACTTCAAGCAGATTAATACTAGTGAAACCATATCATGGGTGGGGACCTCCAGACGGACACGTTACACACTCCTAAGAATAAGACGTAGGTTTCCGGGTTGTAAATTTTAGTTATGCATTATTATGAGACGGCAAATATTACATTTAGTACAATTACAACAGAGGTGTAGCAAAAACATTATGAGTGGCACAAGTTACAATAGTGCAGTTTTAAGTGTGCTTTTATACTTTAAACTGCAGCGCTGTATAGCCCTTGTGGCTTAGCGCTTCTTTTTGATTATAATAATAATAATAATAATAATAATAATAATATACTTTAAACTGATTCAGTGATTTTAAGTTAACTGGGATTTCTTAAGTAGTTTCAAACTGGAAGGTATTGTTAATAATTGTATAATTGTACTGTTGATTGTATAATTGTATTTCTTTTTGTATAATTGTATTGTCAATTGTATAACTGTATTGTTGATGACTATCAGTGCATTGTTGATTGTATGACTGTATTGTTGATGACTATCAGTGCATTGTTGATTGTATGACTGTATTGTTGATTGTATAACTGTGTAGTATTGACTGCATAACTTTGTATCGTTGCAACATTTCAGCCGTTCAACATACGTGTGTTCCATCTAGCCATCATTGGGACAGTCTCCTTTGTCCTCTTCATGGTGTTCCCATCACTAATCTTTGCCAAGCTGGAACCAGGCTGGGACTTCCTAGACTCCCTCTACTACTGTTTCATCTCCCTCACTACTATTGGTCTGGGGGACTACATACCCGGAGATGCACAAGACCAGCCCATGAGACCGCTTTACAAAGTTTGCATCACAGGTGTGTTGAATTTTTTTTTTTATTAACATATCGGCCTTTTCCCACCAAGACAGGGTGTCCCAAAAAGATAACATTCATCATCATTCACTCCATCACTGTCTCTGAAATGGTATAAAATACTGACAAGTTGGTAATTTAGACGTGTGCAACAGTTGGGTATCTTTGTTGATGCGTTTTGCCTATGCTCTAGGCTATTTCAGTCAAATACAGCAACTATGCCATCTAGGAATGACAAATCACAGAATCTGTGGGGTTTGAAGCCATGGCAAGTGATCTTAAAATGCCAAGTGATTTGTTTGCAATCATGACAAGAGGTGGCCGGGCTTAAGGAATGTGGGTTTACCTTCCTCAGCTGGTGCAGCCAAGAATACCTATCAAAGGTACTGTCTATGACTTTGTACTCGTGATGTATTTGTGTAGGTTGCCACTGTTATATGGTAAGTCCTTGACTTAAACACACTGAGAATCTTCTGTACTGTTTTTAATATCGTTAAACACAATAGTGTTAATATTCTTCTTTCAATGCACTGGCCTTATCCCACCGAGGGAGGGTGACCTAAAAAGAAAAACAAAAGTTTCTCTTTTTAACTTTAGTAATGTATACAGGAGAAAGGGTTACTAATCCATTATAGCACATATGACTTACAGAGGAGATATTCTGTTCCACTTCCAAATGGAGATTTTTTTATTTATTTTATTATCACACCGGCCGATTCCCACCAAGGCAGGGTGGCCCGAAAAAGAAAAACTTTCACCATCATTCACTCCATCACTGTCTTGCCAGAAGGGTGCTTTACACTACAGTTTTTAAACTGCAACATTAACACCCCTCCTTCAGAGTGCAGGCACTGTACTTCCCTGGAGATAAGAGGAAATAAACAAGAACAGCAACTAGTACGAAAATAGAAGAAAACCCAGGTTGGTAGACAGCAACTGCCCAGGGAGGTACTACCATCCTGTGGTAGTAGGCTGGTAGACAGCAACTGCCCAGGGAGGTACTACCATCCTGTGGTAGTAGGCTGGTAGACAGCAACTGCCCAGGGAGGTACTACCATCCTGTAGGTAGTAGGCTGGTAGACAGCAACTGCCAGGGAGGTACTACCATCCTGTGGTAGTAGGCTGGTAGACAGCAACTGCCCAGGGAGGTACTACCATCCTGTGGTAGTAGGTTGGTAGACAGCAACTGCCCAGGGAGGTACTACCATCCTGTGGTAGTAGGCTGGTAGACAGCAACTGCCCAGGGAGGTACTACCATCTGTGGTAGTAGGCTGGTAGACAGCAACTGCCCAGGGAGGTACTACATCCTGTGGTAGTAGGTTGGTAGACAGCAACTGCCCAGGGAGGTACATACCATCCTGTGGTAGTAGGCTGGTAGACAGCAACTGCCCAGGGAGGTACTACCATCTGTGGTAGTAGGCTGGTAACAGCAACTGCCCAGGGAGGTACTACCATCCTGTGGTAGTAGGTTGGTAGACAGCAACTGCCCAGGGAGGTACTACCATCCTGTGGTAGTAGGCTGGTAGACAGCAACTGCCCAGGGAGGGTACTACCATCCTGTGGTAGTAGGCTGGTAGACAGCAACTGCCCAGGGAGGTACTTACCATCCTGTGGTTGTAGGTTGGTTAGACAGCAACTGCCCAGGGAGGTACTACCATCCTGTGGTAGTAGGCTGGTAGACAGCAACTGCCCAGGGAGGTACTACCATCCTGTGGTAGTAGGCTGGTAGACAGCAACTGCCCAGGGAGGTACTACCATCCTGTGGTAGTAGTTGGTAGACAGCAACTGCCCAGGGAGGTACTACCGTCCTGTGATAGTAGGCTGGTAGACAGCAACTGCCCAGGGAGGTACTACCCTCCTGTGATAGTAGGTTGGTAGACAGCAACCTGCCAGGGAGGTACTACCGTCCTGTGATAGTAGGTTGGTAGACAGCAACCGTCCAGGGAGGTACTACCGTCCTGTGGTAGTAGGCTGGTAGACAGCAACTGCCCAGGGAGGTACTACCATCCTGTGGTAGTAGGCTGGTAGACAGCAACTGCCCAGGGAGGTACTACCATCCTGTGGTAGTAGGCTGGTAGACAGCAACTGCCCAGGGAGGTACTACCATCCTGTGGTAGTAGGCTGGTAGACAGCTACTGCCCAGGGAGGTACTACCATCCTGTGGTAGTAGGCTGGTAGACAGAAACTGCCCAGGGAGGTACTACCATCCTGTGGTAGTAGGCTGGTAGACAGCAACTGCCCAGGGAGGTACTACCATCCTGTGGTAGTAGGCTGTAGACAGCAACTGCCCAGGAGGGTTACTACCATCCTGTGGTAGTAGGCTGGTAGACAGCAACTGCCCAGGGAGGTACTACCATCCTGTGGTAGTAGGCTGGTAGACGCAACTGCCAGGGAGGTACTACCATCCTGTGGTAGTAGGCTGGTAGACAGCAACTGCCCAGGGAGGTACTACCATCTGTGGTAGTAGGCTGGTAGACAGCAACTGCCCAGGGAGGTACTACCATCCTGTGGTAGTAGGCTGGTAGACAGCAACTGCCCAGGGAGGTACTACATCCTGTGGTAGTAGGCTGGTAGACAGCAACTGCCCAGGGAGGTACTACCATCCTGTGGTAGTAGGCTGGTAGACAGCAACTGCCAGGGAGGTACTACCATCCTGTGGTAGTAGGCTGGTAGACAGCAACTGCCCAGGGAGGTAACTACCATCCTGTGGTAGTAGGCTGGTAGACAGCAACTGCCCAGGGAGGTACTACCATCTGTGGTAGTTAGGCTGGTAGACAGCAACTGCCCAGGGAGGTACTACATCCTGTGGTAGTAGGCTGGTAGACAGCAACTGCCCAGGGAGGTACTACCATCCTGTGGTAGTAGGCTGGTAGACAGCAAACTGCCCAGGGAGGTACTACCATCCTGTGGTAGTAGGCTGGTAGACAGCAACTGCCAGGGAGGTACTACCATCCTGTGGTAGTAGGCTGGTAGACAGCAACTGCCAGGGATGGTACTACCATCCTGTGGTAGTAGGCTGGTAGACAGCAAACTGCCCAGGGAGGTACTACCATCCTGTGGTAGTAGGCTGGTAGACAGCAACTGCCCAGGGAGGTACTACCATCCTGTGGTAGTAGGCTGGTAGACAGCAACTGCCCAGGGAGGTACTACCATCCTGTGGTAGTAGGCTGGTAGACAGCAACTGCCCAGGGAGGTACTACCATCCTGTGGTAGTAGGCTGGTAGACAGCAACTGCCCAGGGAAGTACTACCATCCTGTGGTTAGTAGGCTGGTAGACAGCAACTGCCAGGGAGGTACTACCATCCTGTGGTAGTAGGCTGGTAGACAGCAACCACCCAGGGAGGTACTACCATCCTGTGGTAGTAGGCTGATAGACAGCAACTGCCCAGGGAGGTACTACCATCCTGTGGTAGTAGGCTGGTAGACAGCAACCGCCCAGGGAGGTACTACCATCCTGTGGTAGTAGGCTGGTAGACAGCAACCACCCAGGGAGGTACTACCATCCTGTGGTAGTAGGCTGGTAGACAGCAACCACCCAGGGAGGTACTACTACCTTGCCAAGTGAGTGTAAAACAGAAGCCTGTAATTGTTTTACATGATGGTAGGATTGCTTGTATCTTATCTCATAAACCTGCAAGATTTCAGGTACGTCTTGCTACTTACACTTAGGTCACACTACACATGCATGTACAAGCATATATATATATATATATACACACACACACACCCCTCTGGGTTTTCTTCTATTTTCTTACTAGTTCTTGTTTATTTCCTCTTATCTCCATGGAGAAGTGAAATGGAGTTCTTCCTCGGTAAGTCATGTGTGTCGTAAGAGGCAACTAAAATGCCAGAAGCAAAGGGCTAGTAACCCCTTCTCCTGTATACATTACTAAAGTTAAAAAAAAGAAACTTTTGTTTTTCTTTTTGGGTCACCCTGTCTTGGTGGGATATGGCCAGTTTGTTGAAAGATCATTATTATACACAATACAGGTCCCCAACATGTTCCTAGGTTGAGGACTTCCTGTATTATGAATATTATACAGTGGACCCCCGGATAACGATCAGCTCCCAACTCGACCAATTATGTAAGTTTATTTTTGTAAGTGCTTTTGTAGGTGTATTTTTAGGGGTCTGAAAAGGACTAATCTAATTCACAATATTTCTTATGGGAACAAATTCGGTCTATAACGGCACCCAAACAGACTTCTGGATTGAAATAATATTACGCGGGGGTCCACTGTACACAATTCAGGAGGTCCCAAATATGTTTGTAAGTCAAGGACTTACTGTCTGTCAGTGTAGGAGTATTATGATTTCATGAATCAGAAATATATTAATGTTTACATCTCTTCAGGTTACCTACTGCTGGGACTGACTTTTGTGATGCTCATCCTTCACCTCTATAATGACATCCCCCAGTTGAACCTGGGACTCTTCCTCCTAAGGGGTTCAGAAACCTCCCCAGGTGACCCTGAACGCATGAGGCTCAGTGGAACAGGGGGCATCACGCCAAAGTATACACAGGTAAGTGCTGGAGTGAATGGAGACGAATGGTACTTGGGACCTGACGATCTGTTGGAGTGTGAGCAGGGTAATATTTAGTGAAGGGATTCAGGGAAACCGGTTATTTTCATATAGTCGGACTTGAGTCCTGGAAATGGGAAGTACAATGCCTGCACTTTAAAGGAGGGGTTTGGGATATTGGCAGTTTGGAGGGATATGTTGTGTATCTTTATATGTGTATGCTTCTAGACTGTTGTATTCTGAGCACCTCTGCAAAAACAGTGATAATGTGCGAGTGTGGTGAAAGTGTTGAATTATCGTAAAGGGTTCTTAAATGGAGATATCGTAGGTTGAAAGTAGACACACTTGTAGGATGGTAAATATATTGTCAGACTGAGATGAGGGATGGAGCCCCAGCTGCCTTGCCTGTCTACGCCTGGATCGTCTGCCGCCAAGTGAGGCCGGGACAGGGGCATGAGCCCACACATCTGTATCCCGTGACGTCACACAAAGCCACAGGCCTACAAGGGATCTCGTGTCTAAAGCACATGGATGATACTAATATGCTATGCTATATAATACAGGGAATACAGGGATCAGCAGCTATGCTGACAGAATGATGATGAAAGTATTTTCTTTTTGGGGATTTTCTTTCTTTTTTGGGTCACCCTGCCTCGGTGGGAGACGGCCGACTTGTTGAAAAAAAAAAAAAAAAAAAAAGATGAACAACAACATAAAATGATGATTAACACTTAGCCTAGTACTCTAAAACAAATGTAGGTGCTCCATAACAAGGCATACCAGGCTCTTCTATTTATGAATTTTTATAGATCCAATATAGAACATGAGAAAATATAGAATGCAGATTGGTCAGATGATGTCAGGTAAAGACAGACAAAATATAACCATAATTGACACTGTCTAGTACAGTGGACCCCCGCATAACGATTACCTCCGAATGCGACCAATTATGTAAGTGTATTTATGTAAGTGCGTTTGTACGTGTATGTTTGGGGGTCTGAAATGGACTAATCTACTTCACAATATTTCTTATGGGAACAAATTCGGTCAGTACTGGCACCTGAACATACTTCCGGAGTGAAAAAATATCGTTAACCGGGGGTCCACTGTAATCTAAAATGAATGTGGGCGACACCTGACATAGCATTCCATACTCTTCTATATATCATCTTCATATATCCAATACAGAACATGAGAAAATATAGAACAGTATATAGTGGACAGGTGAGGTCAGGTAAAGGCACCAGTGCATATATGTCACCTGACAATGCTGTGTGTGTTTGGGTAATTGGAGTTTAGTAAATTCTGAGCCTCAGTGTTGAGAATTCTCATAAGTGTTGTACAGCAATCAAGGTGCTGCCAGACATTGCCACTCCTGTAAAAGCTAAGTCACATATCCTGGTACACAAACAGTTTCACTTGCATCGTTATTATTACATAGGGGTGCACTAAACCCATAGGGTTCATGCAGTGCCTTGAGAAATGGAAGATTTTCAGGATTGATTCAAGATATTGGAGCATTAGTCCATTTCCTTAGATCAAGGGCCTCTCGCCAGCATCAAGGAACCTTCTTGGAGGGGTTTCACTTGCATGTATGAGAAAGCAGGAAGGTAGCTCCTGTATCTTAGGTGAAGAGCTTCTTCATTACTGGAGTGATATTAACCCGTAAACTGTCCAAACATGTACAGTGGACCGCCCGGTTTACGATATTTCATTCCAGAAGTATGTTCAGGTGCCAGTACTGACCGAATTTGTTCCCATAAGGAATATTGTGAAGTAGATTAGTCCATTTCAGACCCCCAAACATACATGTACAAACACACTTACATAAATACACTTACATAATTGGTCGCATTGGGAGGTGATCGTAAACCGGGGGTCCACTGTATATACGTTTTTTCAGCATTTGAAAGTACAGTATGTAAAAAAAAGTTTTTTTTTTTTTTTTTGTACACTTCAAAATGTGTAAAAAAAACTTTGATCTACTTTTTTTTATTATTTTTTTTTTATTATCACACTGGTCGATTCCCACCAAGGCAGGGTGGCCCGAAAAAGAAAAACTTTCACCATCATTCCCTCCATCACTGTCTTGCCAGAAGGGTGCTTTACACTACAGTTTTTAAACTGCAACATTAACACCTCTCCTTTGAAAATATGTAAAAAAACATAGATCTACTTTTGTAGCGCTACACATGTGAACGTAGATCTGCTGGGACCGTTTACGAGTTAAATACAGGAGGATCCCATTCATACAGTCTAAATATGAGACTGGCCGTCCTTCCCTTACACAACAGTTGTACGAAAATGGTGAGAACTGTAGAGTAGCGGTAAGAACACCAAACATAATGAACAATGGCTTAATTGAAAGCCAACAATAACGTGTAGCACCGAAGAGGTGCTGTATACGCAGGGCTCGCCTGTATATAAGAATGTAAAAATGGAGGAACACTTCAGTAGGCCTACTGACCCATACAAGGCAGGTCCTTATCAAAACCACTACTACCTAAAGCTACCCAACAATTTACTCCCGTACCCCAAACACCAATCAAACCCAGCCCTTCTCACTTGTATATTTGTCCAATCTCTCTCTAAAGCTATCCAGGGTCTTAGCCTCAATTACCCTACTTGGAAGACTGTTCCAAGGACATAAGTATTGTTTGAAAACCAATACTTACTTACATCCTTTCTAAATCTAAATTTATTTAACTTAAATCCGTTATTTCTGGCTCTTGCTTGATTCAATATCCTCAGTATTTTATTAATATCGCCTTTGTTTATGCCCAGCATCCACTTTGTTAGAGTTTTACTATACATCTAATGGCAATAATTTCCACTTAATTTGCTATTACATTGATTAAATTACCCTATATAAGCTCTAAGTAGCATTTAATATATGGCTACATTCTCTACCTCCATTTTGAAATCTCACGGATTTGTGTTAGTTGTTATATACGGAATTTGTAGAGCGAGTTTAAAAATGTGAAAAAACTATCTGGATCTTTAACTCTTATGTGTTGATAGGATCACCGAACAAGACTGTTCATTACCCTGTCATTTTTGTATAAATAGGTAGTAAAATTACAGGTAATAATAGTAATGGGCACAGGGAATGATTGTAATACTATATTAGTAATGAGTGAATGGAGACAAATGGTTTTTAATACTTGACGTGCTGTTGGAGTGTGAGCAAAGTAACATTTATGAGGGGTTCAGGGAAACCGGCAGGCCGGACTTGAGTCCTGGAGATGGGAAGTACAGTGTCTGCACTCTGAAGGAGGGGTGTTAATGTTGCAGTTTAAAAACTGTAGTGTAAAACACCCTTCTGGCAAGACAGTGATGGAACATAAGAACATAAGAAAGAAGAAACACTGCAACAGGCCTACTGACCCATGCGGATTAGACCAATGACCCACCCAGTCTGGTTATCCCCACTCAAGGATGGAGCACTGTACCAGACCCAGCAACAAAGCTAGTCAGGTCCAGCTCACACCCACCCACACCCACTCATGTATTTATCTAACCTATTTTTAAAACTACACAACGTTTTAGCCTCAATAACTTACTCGGGAGTTTGTTCCACTCATCCACAACTATTACCAAACCAGTGCTTTCCTATATCCTTCCTGAATCTGAATTTTTCCAACTTGAACCCATTGCTGCGAGTCCTGTCTTGGCTGGAAATTTTCAGCACACTATTGACATCCCCTTTATTTATTCCTGTTTTCCATTTATACACCTGGATCATGTCCCCCCTAATTCTATGCCTTTCGAGAGGGAAGATTTCTGATACATGGGATCATCTTGGTCATCCTCCTTTGTACGTTTTCCAGAGCATTTATATCCATTCTGTAATACGGTGACCAGAACTGAGCAGCATAGTCTAAATGAGGCCTAACCAAGGATATATAGAGTTGAAGAACAACCTGAGGACTTCTATTATTTATACTTCTAGATATGAAGCCAAGAATTCTGTTAAGCTTTATTGCGAATACTAATGCACTGTTGTCTTGGTTTTAGATTACTGCTAACCAGAACTCCTAAATCCTTTTTGCAATTGGTAGTATTAAGATCTACATTATTTAGTTTATATGTGGCATGGTTATTTAACTGTCCAACATTTAGAACTTTGCATTTGTCAATATTAAACTGCATCTGCCACTTCTCCGACCATTGCATCAGTCTATTCAAATCATCCTGGAGTGCTCTAATGTCCTCATTACAATGAATTGGACAGCCTATTTTGGTGTCATCAGCAAATTTGCTTATGTCGCTATTTATTCCCTCATCTATGTCGTTTGTGTAAATTGTGAACAACAAGGGGCCCAACACTGACCCCTGAGGAACACCGCTTGTGACGTGCCCCCATTCTGATTTCTCCCCATTTATGCAAACACTCTGCTGTCTATTTGTCAGCCATGCCTCTACCCAGGAAAATATTTCTCCTCCTATTCCGTGTGCCTTAAGTTTCCTCAATAGCCTCTGATGTGGGACTCTATCAAAAGCCTTACTGAAGTCCATATACACAATATCATATTCATTACCATGATCTACCTCCTCAAACACCTTAGTGAAAAAAGTTAGTAAATTCGTAAGACAGGAACGCCCCTTTGTAAAACCGTGTTGAGAATCGTTAATCAATCTGTGCCTGTCAAGATGGCTACGAATTGCTTTGGCAATTATTGATTCCATAAATTTTCCCAATATGGAGGTCAGGCTTATTGGTCTATGGTTGGAAGCCAAGGACCTGTCACCTGCCTTGTAAATAGGTATTACATTTGCCATTTTCCACTTATCAGGCACTAAGCCAGTTTGTAGTGATATGTCAAAAAGATTAGCCAAAGGTATGCTAAGTTCCTCTTTACATTCCTTTAACACCCTTGCAAACAGTTCATCAGGACCTGGGGATTTGTTAGGTTTTAGTTCCTCTATTTGTCTGAGGACCATGTCACTAGTTACCGCTATCGTACATAGTTTATTATCATCCTGTTCTACGTATTATTATTATTATTATTATAATCAAAAAGAAGCGCTAAGCCACAAGGGCTATACAGCGCTGCAGGGCAGGAAGGAAGTGAGGGCATCAGGTGGCAAAAGGGAGGTGGATGAGTAATAGGTTACGGATAACAGCGGAACAGTGGATGGTGAAAGGGTAAAGGGCAGCAAGAGACTGAGCTAGAAAGGGCTGAGGGGAGTGCGTAAGGTATCATCATCAGAGTTTGTGGAGTAAATCAGTCGTTGTCAAGAAGTCAATGAGAGAGTCAGGAT